TTTGGCAGTTTACCTTGGTGACTGTATGGTGTTCAGATTCTCATTTGTGGTGGAAGTCAAGGAACCAGAGGGACATGTGGTCCCAGCCCATCCTGTTGGGTGTTTTGTTTCTGAAGTTAAACCGTCTCTCTGCTGTGTAGCTGAAGTAAAACTTTCTGTCTGCTGTAAAGCTGTAGTCAGCTCTCCCTGTTTGGGTAAAACTCCCATTGCTGTGGAAGACCAGGTCAAAACAACAGTCAAAGCATTTTAAATAACTTAAATCATACTTACACAATTTCATAATATACATGCTTAAAAATGAATCTACAATGAGTTACAATGCTCAAAGTATAATAGGCCATAGGATGTCACTAGTGAGAATTTAACTATGTAACCATAAACATGTCATAGACAGTCTGTCCATAGTACATAATGTAATGATCAATAACAGACTGTGTCTGTTTAAATATGTAACATGCAGAGGAGTTAATATAATCTGCAGTCCTTGACCTGCGGGCTAATTTAATAATTCACCTTCCATCACCATCAGCTGTAGATAGACACCGTCATTTGGTAACCATTGAATCTCCACAGCACACCAGTAAGTGTCAGAGTCCGTTTCCTGCAGGTTCCTCATGGTCACATTAAAGACAAGGTGGGTGGGGTCATCACTGATTGACACTTTCCCTGCTGGCTGATTGGAGTCAGAACGTGCCAATGTGGAGCAGGAATACCAGTAATATCCTCTACACCAGTACTTCACATGGTGTTTATACTTCTGATCATAGTAACATGGGATGGTGACAGATCCTCCTCTCTCTGCAGATACCCAGCTTACAGTCCTCACACTCCGAGCATCTGTGTGAATAGGAGAGAAACAAAGTACCGTTTGCTTATTTTAGTATTCAAATGCTGTACATTCCAATCTACTGATATTAGCAAGAAAATGTGTGAAATTTGTTAAAACATCTTACCTTTAACCTCTATTAACAGATTCTTAAAGTCGTCCATCTCGCCAACTCCACCAATCTCTACAGCACACCAGTAGATACCAGTGTCACTTGTCTCCAAGTTCCTCATGATCACATGGAAAACATGCTGGGCAGGATTATCAGTGATTGACACTTTCCTGGAGCTCTGTGGTGAGTCTGTGCGTGCCATGATTGTACAGGAGGACCATAATTTCCCTCTACACCAGTATTTCACATGATCTTTATACTTCTGATCATAGAAACATGGGATGGTGAGAGATTCTCCACTCTGTGCAGTTAAACAGCTGAATGTCCTCACACTGTCACCACCTGCAGTGACATCATGTAAATCAGTGTTTTTCAATGGACTGATCATAACATTGTCTATCACATAAGACCCCCCCCCCACCGGCCGCAGCCTACAAAATCGATCAATCACGACTCCATTGCTCCTCAAATAATTATCTTTGAAATAGTAGCTCGCAGTATAAACGTGAATGAAGATCACTGATGTAAATGGTGCACTGAGCAATTCAATGTCTTGGGGTGAGGCATACGCAGGTAATGTATTTTGTGAAAACCGCCGCTCATTAGATGTTTTTTCTTTTTCGGCAAATAACACATTGCAACCATACATACTGTCAGTAAATAACTAGCATAAGTTCAGCTTCCAATAAATGCACAGGTACAAGTGCCAGCAGTATTGGCGCAAGAGCTACACAACAACTATACTTCTACACAACAACTACACAATAACTTCTGTCAAAGCAAATATTACACAGAGTAACTTATCACATACCAGCAACACTAGTAAGTATAAGTAATAACAGCCAGTAATGACACTGAATAATAAATGATGCCAAGCAAGAACACAGGGAAATAAAGAAATACAAAATGTAATATATTAAATAGAAATTAAATTAATATTGATGTTGTCTATTCTTTGTCTGAACAAAGACACAAATCTGAAAATATAAACTGATATATTTAGGCATTGTTCGTCTTTTATGGTCCTTTCTGGTGAATTTGTGAATATTACGTAATAGCGAATATTTCTGTCTTACCTGGCAGCCTAATGAAGAAGACGTGGAGGAGGAAGAGGAGAGGAACCATGACTGAGTCTGTCAGAGACCCCAGCCCTCTGAAGACTGGCTCTCTCTTCCTGGTCCACTCTGATACCACTGATAACTTTTTATGTCTCTGTTCTCAGAAGAAAAAAGGTGCAACACATGCGCACAGTAACATGCAGCAAATGCGCAGACACTG